CTTAGGGTATATTAAAATTTTATGTACCCTGTCACAAATTTGTTAATCGTATGTTATACAACATAACCAACAATTACGATCGTATACATCGGAGAATAAATTGTGGATAATAAATTAAATACGTAGTAAACAAATGATGTAAATTGCTATTGGACATAAATACGAACAAGAGACAGAGCTAAAAAAAGCTTTTCTCTCTTGTAAAAAAAAAGCTCATAGCTTTCAATTTTATTCTTCGGGTTGAACAGTTTTAATACACAAGTACTACAATAGGTGTTAAAAGGAAATACCTATTTCGCGGGTACTTTGGTGGTCTTGGAAACCTGTAATTAGAGTTGTCATCATAAGCCAAATTTTAGTGGCATGCTATTAAAATTTGGCATGCACCAATACTTGTATAGATGTATTGTTTATCATTATTATGAAAGGTTTAAATAAGGTTATAGTATTTTAATCTTGTGAAACTTACTGATTTAGATACATGTTTTAAATCGAAAAAAAACTCGTTTGAGTTGCCTTTTACAAAAATGGAAAGCGAAGATAATTCCAGACCAGCTGAAGAGCAACTTGTTAATATTTCACAAAGGTATGTTAAATCTTTTAACCTCTTTTAACTTGATAAAATATTATATTTATCTTTCAACTAATTAAAAATTCAAATAACAAGCGACCAAAATTCAGCTGAAGCAATAGACGCTCCAGCAGTTGGACAAATATTCCGTAATTGGGAGGAATTGGATCTCTTTATTTCTCTTTATGCAAAAACTCAAAACTTTGTTAGTATTATACGTGGATCTGAATATGATAAGGGAGTTTGTCGAATTCATCGATATGCTTGTGAACATCAAGGTCATAATGGTGCAAAGAACAAGACTAATACGTATCGCTGAGAACCAATGACATTGGGCCATTCGTGCTAGTTGTCTAAAAACAACAGGCATATTGAGCATCAGTTCCCTTTGTCTGGATCATAATGATCATCCAATAAAGGATGAAACCACTAGGTTCATGTTAAAATACCATGTGTTTTCTGAGAGCATGTTAAGAGACTTTAAATTCTGAACTGAGATTGGTAATATTAGTATGAGGACACAGTATCAAATGCTGACAAGTCAATATCCAAATAGTTTCTTTTTGCCTCAAGACCTCTCAAATATTATTCAGACCTTTAAACAACAAAATCGTGTTGAATGTGAGGCAGCTACTTTACTTAATTATTTTTTAGAGCGTAAAGCTGAAGACACTAGGTGGATTATAGACTGGAAGGTTGATCCTACAAATAACTCTCTTGCATCTTTATTTTGGATGTCACTAGACCAATATGATCTGTATATCTGATACAGAGACGTTGTTCAACACGATAACACTTATTCAACAAACCGTTTTAAGATGGCGCTGGGCTTCTTTGTTGTAGTAGATAATAATAACCAGTCTCGTTTGGTAGGACAGGCTCTTATAAACGATGAAATAGTTGAAAGTTATGAATAGGTATTGCAAACCCTAATTTCAAATACAAATGCTGCACCTTTAACAATAATTACTGACAATGACCTTGCTGTTAATTCTGCTATTGCCAATATATTACCTAACACATATCACATCCATTGTATATTCCACATAGAACAGAATTTAATTAAAAATTTGAAAGGCAGAATGGGAGAATGATATAATGATTTTTCCAAAAAATGGTACCAAATGCGAAATTCTCCTTCATGTTAATGGTTTTATTATTTATAGAATAAACTTTTAGTAGAGTTTCCTGATGCTACTTCATATCTCAATCGTGCTCTTTTTAATGAAAAAGAGGTTGGGCTATTTGTTACACCTCTAATGTCTTTAATGCTAGAATACAATCCACACAGAGAGTTGAAGGTCAAAACGCTATAATTAAAAATTCAGTAAATGGCAGCACATCTTTAATAAATCTTGTTAAGCATATTGACGAACAAATTGATCGAGCATCTACTTATGTTCAATACAAAAACTGGATTCATTCTATTACAGGGTCTACACTTACCCACGCTAGTTCTGAATTTTTACCAGAAATTGATCAATTGATTACTATCTATTTAATACCAGCCTCCTTGTCTATGCAACGACAGGAGATCGCTCAAGCTATCTGGTACACATCACGCCTTATTGACAATTTTGAAGAGCAATTCAATTTAATTAAATTACCTAATTCGACTGAACTATCCGATTTAACTGAACAATCCTACTTAACTGAACAATCTGATTCAACTGAATTATCCAATTTAATTGAATAGTTTGATTCAATGGAGGTGCTTGATATGTTTATTAAAGATGCTATTGATGCACCTGCTATTTTACTTAGTGAATTAATACCACCTACAAAAGTTAAATCCATTATTGAAATATGGGAGGTTACTCGGCACAGACGTAAAACTAAAAATTATGTTGTATTGTTCAAAGACAAT